CTTCCCCACCACACCACCAAAGGTGACCTTGCCCTTCCACTACGGCTGGCTGGAGAACGTGTTCACTGAGACCTTCCTCCTCATCTTCTTCGTGCTGATTGGCTACAAGTTCCAGCCAATGAGCGACAACCCGTACCTTCAAGTGCCCCAGGACAGCGACGAGGAGATAGAGATGGAGGAAGTGTAAGACCGCACATAATTTAAAAAAAAAAAATCTGTTTTAGGATTTGGTTGGTTAAATTGGATGAAATGAAAGGTAAAAGTAATTATCTTGAACATTTATATGTAACAGTTATATGTTATAACTATCATGTTTGTAATACACTATTGGACACTATCATACACACATTTTTCTACTAATCAGACGGCGTCAACGTCATAGAAATGGGCAAGGGACAAAAAACAAAAGAAGAAAGATAAAAGTATGGACAAAGTGAATGAAATGTCTTGTGAAAGTGGATGAAATGAGAGGTGAAAGTAGATAAGATTTTTAAAAAGTGGATGAAATGTGAGGTGAAAGTGGATAAGATGTAAAAAAAAAAAAAAAGTGGATGAAATGTGAGGTGAAAGCAGATAAAATGTAAGAGTGACAAACATACAAAAGAAGTAGAGGAAAATGACAATAGTAAGGATTAGGAAAGAAAAAGCAGCAGTTCCCTGTTGTAGATCGGGCACAGTAATGAGCGTGACATGAATCAGCTCATTTACAATTCTACTATGCTTGAACGAGAAATGTCCCACCTTTGGGAATGGCCTAAAGACACTACAGTCAGTGGCACTGCCCCGGGGGTACGAGTAAAGAATGCACTTTGGCCCCCAAAAATGTAGTTTTGAGGCGATAAATTATTGTTTTGTTTTTTGTTGTTTTTATGTGTTTTGTGTTTTTTCCCCCCCATTTCCCCATTTACTGACACGCTTTTTTCTCTCTTCCGTTCATCGGTGTGTCCAGTCTGACCAAGACGGGCTCCACAGAGACAGTGGTGCGTGTGAACCAGGGCCGGGGGGAGGAGGAAGGTGGGAGCTCCACGGCAGTCACCGTCAAGCAGCGAGAGAGCAGCCACGAGTACGACTGAGCGGGAAACTCTGGCCTTGGACACACTCAACTCAACTCAACTCGCTCTACTCTGTGATGGAAAAAAATATATGTATATATATCGTCGCGCTCATAACATAAGTTCGCAAATCGTTTTTTAAAAATATTTTTTTTTAGTAGAGGGTTTTACGGCGCTCGCAACTGGATAAGGTCATATGAGCGCCTATAAATGGTTTTTGGCCGGTTCTAACTTTTTTGGTTCTGAAATGAAGAGCAGAGCTAGCTTGTGGTAATATAGTCCACTTGGACAAAAGAATGATCATGGCACTCATATGACCTTATGCAGTTGTGAGCGCTGCAAAAACTTTACTAAAACTAAAACTAAAAGAAGAATCCAAATAGAAAATCCGCTGAGTGTACCAAAATTCCAGCGTTTCCTGGAGTCAATTGTTCGAAAGAAACCTTTTTTTATTTCTCATTTTTTCAGTATGGCTAAAAATGACTGAAGCATTTATCTTATGTGCGTGGCGATATAAATTCGCGTTGTGTATTTTTAACTGTCGGGGGCAGGTGGCTGGAGGGTGCCACTGGCTGGTCCTACTTCTTTACTTTCCGTCTGTTGTTTCTGTCTGTCTGTCTTACTTTTCCCCCAGCACTAAATGGTCGCTTTTAAGCGCCAGGGGGATATCCCGAAAAATGTTGTTTTGAGAAAATCGAAGGTAAAGTTTTTGCCCCTTGTTCAGTTTCTTTAAAAGACAAAGAGAGTTTTCTCTATTACCGAACAAATATACACACCAATGAAACCAAACTTCTCCTATAGGTAGGACAATGCCCACTTTTGGTGCAGGTCAAGATTTCTGGAAACTCCCAAAATCACGGTTATCCCGCTTGTCCTTAAAAGCGACCAAATGAAGGTTATTGTGTCAATGTGCTTCTCTGTACTAAAAAAAACAGTGTCGTTTGTGAGGAGGACAGTGGGGGTTTTGTCCCCAGTCTTCAGAAAGAGGGAACGCTGCACTGGACTCTTTTTTTCTGTGTGACGAAGAAACGAACATTTGTGAGGCATCGCCGAGAAATCAGGCGCTCGTCAAAATAATGAAATCAAAGAAACCGACCTTTTTTCCACCCGTGGGGAAATTGTTTTTTGATTTTACACTTTTTTGCTCAACTCCTATTGCGTCTATTTAAAAACACATTTCTGTGCAGATTTTACTGAAAAACGTTGATCAAGGGCACAAAACAATGTGAATTTGCAGTTTTTCTGGAATTTTGGAAGTCACCAAAATTTGTGTGAGCAGCCTTTTTGTTGCTGATTTGACCTCTGACCCCAGGTGCGAACCCCACCTCCTTCAATTGCCAATGTCTCAACTTCTATTCAAGATGATAATAATAATAATAAATGACATTTATACTGCGCTGAACCCCGATTAAAGTGCACCGGCTCTGAGCGTTTTACAATACAGTACAACGTACAACAGTGACATAAAACATGTTCTGACCAAAAGAAAATCACTCCAGATAGAATAAAAGATAGGGTTTTTTACATTTTTAAATCAAAAGCAAAAGAAATAAAGAGGCTTTTAGATTCTACCACAAACTACATATGCCCCAACAATTGAAGAACGCCTGATTGCCCCGTGCTGTGACACATTTGTGAGGCAGTGTGGTGAAATTAAGCACTCATCAAAATAAGGAAATCAGAGAAATTACCATTTTCCCGCAGGCTTTTCAATTTTTTTCTTTTTTTGGGGTTTTTTTTTTGGCTGAGCACCTTTTATGTCTTTTTAAAACGAATGTCTATGTGGAATTTACTGAACAACGTTGATTAAAGGCTCACAAAATGTAACTTTTCATGTCCCAGGACTCTCTAGCTATAGAAGTTACCATACTTTGGCGGCCATTTTCTGGGTAATTGTACTTCAGAAGCCACAGGTGACCCCACCTTCTTCAATTGCAAAAATCTCGACTTCTATTCAAGATAAACGGGTATATATTTCATCAAATGCAAGACACGTGAACGAGCTTTAAGATGATACCATTGATTAACTCCACATGCCAAAGAATTGACGAGCGCCTGATCTGACCGCGTCGCGACGTATTTATCCTTTCTCCGTGTCACTCAAACTGTACAGTAACTAAAGTTTGTCTTTTCTTCGGTCGGGTTTTTTCTTCCTCATCATTCTCCCCCCCCCC